GTCAGGGGTACACTTACTAAAAACATCCGACTGCCGGTGGTACGCTTACTAAAAATGGTTGAAAACCCCTGTGATAGAGTATACCACATTCAAATGAATCTTAGTTATTTAAAACATGTTGCCTACCAATTTAAAATTATTTTAACTTATTTTTCTTTCATTTTCCTTCGTATGTTGATCTTCCAGTACTATAATGGTTGCTAGCTGTCTTACAATTTGTATCTCACAAGATTTAAAGAAGTTAATGTTCCTGTAGTGTTTATGGCCGATACAAAGAAATGTTTGCATCTGGTAAAACTTGAAGGAACATGGAGAATATTCCTTTCAAATCATTTGCACCAGTTTGGTTGATGATAAAATATTGGTGTAACTTTCTTTTCTGCTTTTTATTCAGGCAGAGGGAGAAGACAGCCTTAAAAAGATGCAGCTGATGGAACTTGCAATTCTGAATGGCACCTACAGAGACGCCAACATCAAATCACGTAAGCATTACAGGATTCTGGGGGCCAGTGTGAGAACAGTCTCCTTAAGCTTTGTTTCCGAGTCCTTCTTTTGGTGATTGCACAGTAGGAAATGTTTTGGAGACTGGAAGACAGTGTAAGTGTAGAACTAGCATTACAGTTGTTAGTACTGTTGTAAATCCAAGACATTCTGGCACCATTTTTTTCTGTCAGGGTGTTTGGGTTGAACTATTTTTAATTTTAATCAGAGTTCAGCCCTTAAAGCATTTTTTCCATATTTTGCAATACAGGGAAGCCATGATATTCCTTTTACTTTTGTTTTTAGGCCTTATTATGTGTGTTAAAAATAGACTCCTTTTTATTTTATAATATTAGTAATAAATATGAGACTATTACAAATGTTCACAATTATGTGAATAAAATTTTCTATATTATATTCCTTCCTGTCATCCTCCTTGCATGTTCCCCCATGATACATTTTCCCAATGATTCATCAACTGATTTTACATACGAGTTCACAGAGATCAGTGATGTAATGAGCGTTTTTGTAGCTGTTCTTCCATGTAGGTTGGTGTGAGCATGCCGCATGTATGCACAGTTTTACTCTTGATGCTGGATGATGTGCACTTAGTAATCAGAATATTTTATATGCCTACTATCTGTTATAAACTCTTTTCTCCAGTTTTTAAGCTAAACCTTGCTAATAAAAATGAAAAATTTGAAATAATTTCGAAATAAATCTTTACTACAGCTGATACAGATGTCAAATGTATGTACAAGTTAAGTCAACCTTTTCACTAAAGATCTATTGATATTTGCAAAAAATATCTTCTACATGTGTATCATTTCAATTTACAGTGAACAGTGGGTATGTGTAAAACAAAAACAGTAGAGATTTGCTCTTAAATGCAGTTAGGTGTAGCAGTTTTATCAGACCTCATTTAAAGGTACTAAAAGTGACATGAAGAGAAAAAATTAAAAAATGGATATGTGCACTTTCTTTCTGCTTTAGGTTTAGCTCACATAGTATCAGAAAATTATAGTCTTTGTTGATGCAGACTAAACTAAGCTGGGTTTAGGTGCATGCAGGCACTGAAATAATTATGACCCTACCACACACAAAGATGGTACTGGATTTTTCTACACTGGCTTTTTAGTATGGCATTTACTTAAAATAGGCTAGTGCCTCTTTATAAAATACCCTTTTTCTTAACTAAGTAAAACCATAGTGTCATTCATAAGGTATAATGTAAAAAGAAAGCAAGACAAATGTTTTTGTTCTTAAGAATGAAGGAAATCACCTGTTGGTTTGAATTTTCATCACAAAGCTGTAAGAGGAAGATGTACAATTTCTAGGTTGCCCTTAACCCCACTGCTCCTGGAAATTGAATTTTTATATATTTTAAACAGAATTTTAAAATATATAAAAGTATTATGAAACTTTCATCTCAGATGATAGCTCTGCATAACTGAGTATCTGTGGACTCCTATAGTTGCACTACATTTTAGACTTCATATGTGATTTACAGCAGTGTTCATTCTCCTTGTATCTCCTGCATGCATCTCAGTCTCATGCAGTCTTGAAAGCACAGGTGAAGAAGCGTGTTCTTAAAAGAGCTTTTGTGCTATGTAACCTGTTTGAGAAATCTACTTCACTGTTTTACAATGGCTTTTTTATTTTGCATGTTCATACTTAATCACACTGGAAAATGGAAAGCTGTTTGCATTTGAATGGTGTGCTTTGGCACTGTGTGATCAGCGCATGTACTAATGATTTCCTTTTATTTTTCTTCTTTCCTACTTTTCCCCTTTTTTCTCATTCTTTCCACGTTTTGTACTGCTTTCTCCATACTTTCTTCTACATTTCTTTGCTTACTGTAGCAGCCCTTGCCTTTTCTCTTGCAGCGACAGCCCAGGCTCCACGGATTATTACTGGGCCTGCGCCTGTTCTCCCACCAGCTGCCCTGCGTACTCCTACGCCAGCTGGCCCTACCATAATGCCTTTGATCAGACAAATACAGACCGCTGTCATGCCAAACGGAACTCCTCACCCAACTGCTGCAATAGTTCCTCCAGGACCTGAAGCTGGCTTAATTTACACACCATATGAGTATCCCTACACACTGGCACCAGCTACATCGATTCTTGAGTATCCTATTGAACCTAGTGGTGTATTAGGTAAGTCTATGGAGATGTTTCACTGAATTATAATTTTTTTTCAGACCACTATTCATATCCATCTTTTATCATGGTCATATGAGAAGTGGGAGTCATTAAAACATTGTTTTTAAGGAGAGACTTCTGACCATATTTTGGTTTTATTTCAAGTACATTATAAATTGCTCTGGAAAAAATAGATAGACTAAGCAAAACTTTTTAATTGTCCTAGCATTAGTTGGATTGCTAAATCAATTTATTGTAAAATCAATACTTATTTTGGAATGCTTGTAAATTTTATGGTAAAAAAAATAATTTGAAAAGGTTATTTTTTGTAGCACTAGCCAATGACATTTTAGACGAGGTAAAAACAAATAGAAATTGAGATTTATAGTTAACATAAATATGTGTGTTGCCCCAGCTATCTTAACTGTTAAATTCAGTTCCATTAATACTGTAAAAGGTTCTTTTTTTTAATCTTGCACAAGCTTTTGTGGTATCAGGCAAATAAATATTGGAGAACATCAAAGGTATTGTTTCAGGTATGGTACAGACCTAATAAATTCCTACAGGTTCAGCAACAGATGAATCAGTCTTTTAAACAGAAAACAATAGTTTCAATAAATGTATAGAGAACTACAAGTCAGAACCAAAAGAATGATGCAGTTAGATGGAAATATTACTGATGGTTATTTTTTTATAGAACGGACTGAAATGTCAGTTGTTCCTAATATTTTCGTCTGTTAACTTGCTGGAAGAAGGCTACAGTACAGCAGCAGTTAGTATGCAGTTAATCTGTCAATATGAAACAAACTCCCATTCCCTACTCTTCACTCCAAAATTTGAATAATCTTTTTTTTCTCTAGTTCTTTTTCTGAATTGTATGTGACCTTGATGCTGCATGACACTGTTGATTTATAGGCCTTTGATCTTTAAAGTTTGTTCAGCAGCAGTTATTGATTTACACAAATTCTAAAAGTCTCCAATGAACATTGGACACTAAGATTCAGAGTCAATACCTTGTTGAAAGAAACACAAAAATCCAATGCACAATTAAGTGAAGACTGTATATTTCATGTGTTATCTGTGTGTGTGCACCTTTACATTTTTCTTTTTGTATTATAGAAAGGAAATATCTTGATCTATAACTTTAAATGATGACTCGTTCTAACAAAGTCAAAATTATATAACAGATTTGCTCATGACCAAGATATAGCTATTGTCTATTATCTTAAATAGCCAAAATATTTGATGCCCTGTAATATTTTATCTTTTCTGTATTTTTATTTTTATTTATAATCTCTCCTGCAAACCATGGATGCCCTTTTTCCATCCACAAGTCTTCTCTGCTCGTACCTACATCATCTGTCAAAGTAAAATTTCAGTATTCAGAATCAATACCTTTGTAGGCACCCACTGCTGTTCAGTGGCAGGTTTGTGCCCAACTTGGTAGCAAATAATAATAAAAACAAACAATGCTTTATTTTATAGTAATCGTTTAATATGATGCAGAAAAATTTTATTAATTTCAGGCACAATGTTTGGAGGGGTGGGAGAGAGGAAGGTATAGGAAGAGAATTGCACAAAAATGGCTTTTGAATCTATTACTATTAGATATTTAAGGCACAAAATAGCATACACTACGGCTCAGTGCCTTATAAGGCTTCTTCATTTTTCACCTTTATTACTATTAAAAACAACCTACTTAATATGGAGTTATTGATCATAATATATGCCTTTTCATTAGAGAAATTAAATTCAAAGAACTTTAGATTGTTGGTGGAAGTAAAAATAACTTGAGTTATGCACACACACAAATAATACACTTGCTTAGGTTTATTTTATGATTAACTTTAGATACCTTCAAAAATGACAAAGAGATGTGTGTGGTGGCAATAATGGGAATATTGTTATTAGAGTAAAATCTTAGCAACTAATCTTTAATTCCCTTCCTTTTATCTTTAGGTATGGCTTTCCCAACGAAAGGCTAAGAATTCAAGAATGGTCTTAACTGAACTCTCATCAGATCTGAATTTAACAAATGCTTAGTTTCAGCAGCCTTGAAAAAAGCTTAGCCTAGCAGTCAGTGACTTACTTGCACTTTTTTTGCACATAGATATAAAATAATTAGTGCTATTAATTTGGTTTAGTCTCTATTATTACAAAGTAACTGTAATTTATGAGTGTATAGTAGTATACTGACTGCTAAGTGTTCTATACTGTTTGCTTTACTAATCACCTAATTCATTGCAGTTCATACTTATTGACTTAAAGTTTAAAACACAATCTGTAGGCTTGAAGAATTGCTTTAAAACTTTTTATGTTAGAAACTGGAAGTGGTCTTAAGGGTAGCAAAAAATTGTCAGTATTAAAAATGGCATTATTTAAAGTAGTCCTGCTGCAAGAAAGGCACTTCAGTGAATATGTGACTAGTAAAGCCTAAATGTGCTTGGGTCTAATAGATTTCATGAAATACTGTAATTTTGGGGATTGTAAATGAATGGATTAAACAGGTTAAGGCCAGGATGTTTGAATTAAATGCAATATTAATCTGCACAGATAAACTTCATAAAAAGGTTAAAATTTGAAACTACTGTGCCTTAACTTGTTGCTTTCTTAATGAATTTTTGTAGTAAATGATCATGTAAACCCATTTTGATAAACCTGCTGTTAATGTTTTTCTTTGAATGTTTTCTAACTTTTGTCTTGGTAATTGCAATTTAACTAGGTGCGGTGGCTACTAAAGTTCGAAGGCACGATATGCGTGTCCATCCTTACCAAAGGATTGTGACCGCAGACCGAGGTTAGTTTAGTTCTGCAGTTCTTGTCTATAAGAAATTCTGTGAGTGTACATGAAATTTGCAACACCACAGCTGGTTAACCAAATACCATATTTTGACCTATTCATTGATGTTTTTTCTCAAAAATCTAAATAGTGACAATGTTATAGCTCTGGGAATGCTTGCAATTTTAAAGACATTTTGTTAAACTACTTTAGCTTTCCCACCTATTAAAAAAACAAAACTTTGTGATATATTTAATATGAAATGCTATAACTGATTCCAATTATAAGAAGGTTATAAATAAGATTCAGCTTCATCAGGAAGCATTAAGTTTAGTGCTTTATTAGTTAATTTGTTTTCCCTCCAAACTTGCTCTTTTAATTGGTGTGGAAATATCAGATTGGTGTTGCAAAATAAAATGAATGGATGGGTGCTTAATGAGAAAGAAGTAAAGAAATAAATGCCTCCTGTCTGTGTCTGGAGAAATCTGAAGATTTAGATTCCTTTTTTCTAATAAACTGTTTGAGCCACTGTACTGTACAACTAAAGAAGATGCATGTTCTCAAATATCTAATTTAATTCAGCAAAGTAAGGACTGTGAAGATAATACTTCAAAAGTTGGTTGAATTTGTAAAGCCAGTTCTTTTAGGGTTTTTTTTGCTGAAATGGATTTCTTGGTATCAGTTTATTTGCTGCTAAAATACATTGTCTGAAGGAGAAGCAACTTTTGAAGTCCTGTTCGCGAGATGACATCCAGTGTTTGGACATCTCTCTGGACTAACCAATGCATGGAAATTAAATCTTCATTTTTCTCCTGTTCATCAAATGTAATTTACCACATATGTATGCTTTTGGATCCTTTAATGAATTTATTTAATCTTTTTTGAGAAAAATGATACTTTCGGTTTATTGACATTGGGTAGTTTGTTTGGCTAGGAAGCAGTATGGGTTGAACCCAAGAGCTCCCAAATTCTGCCACTTGACTTGCTGTGTGAATTTTGGCAAGTTATTTAACTTTTCTTGTGTGTGTTTCCGCATCTGTAAAATAAGGATAATAATACTTCCCTACCTCACAGGGGTGTTGTGAGGATTAATGTTTGTACAGTGCTTTGAAGATGCAAAGCGTCTATGGTGTTCTAAGTATTATTATTCGAAGGACCTATTCTTAGCACAATATTGATTTCACAGGATTCTATGAGATGGTATACTTAAAGCCAAATTCAGGTCATGGGTGTGCCGCCTTAGCACAAATCTTAGCCTAGGCTTCACCTCCTTTCTTCCTCTCATTCATTAAAGGGGACACACACATGTCAGTTCCTGAGAGGAGCTTCCCAAGATCCTTATCACACTTTACATAGTATCTCTCTCTCTCTCTCTCTCTCTCTCTCTCTTATGGATCTCATGCTTTATAAAAGGAGTGGAGTAATATACAGACACTATAGTAACCAGTAAGTCTTCCCTTGAATTCCATCACACTAGTTGGAGTCTTGTCATTGTTGTATTGAACATTTCTTCAGTAGACAGCAGGACATTCTCAGTAATGGGGATGTTTGTCCAGATATTTAGAAGTGTTTAGATACCCAACTCCCAATTAAATCAATGGGGTTAGATGTTTAAGTACCTTTAAAAATACAGGCCCATTGTTCCTAGAATCTCTTCCTGCACATGACTTCCAGAACCCACATTTGATGGGCTTTAGCAGGACAAAAAGCATATACTTTTGTGAGATGTTTTCCTGGAGCAACTGATGTCCATATTGTTATAGTACCACATTTTATTTTATTTTATTTTATTTTATTTTATTTTATTTTATTTTATTTTATTTTATTTTATTTTATTTTATTTTATTTTATTTTATTTTGTGTGTGTGTGTGTGTGTGTGTGTATATATATACATACACACACACACACACACATATATATAAATAAATCAGGTACTTCATTTGAATAGACTAATGTAGTGTTTGCAAATCTTACGAATCTTTTTAACTCTTGAAAAATGATTATACGTTTTGGTAGTGGTTACTGCTCAAAAATAATTGAACTGAAGATAAATATAGGCCACACCTCACTTGTCTGCTGACTTAAAGCCAACTTTTGATGGTAAAGTGTCCATCTCCTAGAGATCTTGAAAGTTCAGTGTATATTTTTAAATTGAATAGATATACACTGAGCTCTTCTTCCAGTGAATCAGCTGCACATTCTGTGCCCTACATAATTTTTTTACATGAAAACCCTGCTGATTATTTCTGGTGAAATAAAGCTCTAAAAATATCATTAGCAATTTATATAAAAGCAGTAGACTGCACAACAATAATTTTAAGACTCTTTTTTTAAATAGATTATCAGTGCACATTCTTTTTGTAGATTTGTTACAGGAAATGTTTTGAAAAGAATGTCTTTTGGCATTCCACAAACTTTATGAGATGATTCTTTAAAATTGGCATAATTTTAAAATTAAAATATTGGAAATTGATAAACACCTGCCATGTATAGCAACTGTGTCAATGTCAGCAAACCGAAAATACTATTTTCAAATGTGGAAACATTTTAAGTATTTAAATTTAACTAAGTTGTGCATTCATTGGGTCTAAAGTTTCAAACAAACAAAAAAAACATTTTAAACCAGTTCTCAAATTATTTTATAGTACTACTGTATTCACTGTTTAGGTAGGTTTTTATTCGTTGTATATTTTTAGTTAAAAGCACTGCATTTAAGGCAAGGGTCCCCAAATGTGTAAATGTTTTACTCTTATAACTAAACATTTAGAATCAAAGGGTTGACAGGTAGTTCATTTTAACCAAGAATAAGACCCCCGCTATATAAATAATACAAAACTGAATTCGATTCGTATAACAGAGACTGACTGATTTTAATTGTAATAAACTATAAATGGTGTTGCACAGTTGATAAACCTGTGTGTACTGTAGAAGGCCAGAGACTTGGCAGAGGATGTATCACAGGTGTACTGGAATTTTAAAAGGTAGCTTGCTTGGATTATAAACTCCATAAGAAATGTTAATGCTGAGAATTTATCTGAATGTTTTATCAAAACCAACTGTCACATAATTTATACATAAAATTTAATACCATTTAATCAAAATTGTAAGCAATATCAAAAATGCTTTAAGATTCTGTTTCTAGTATACCTGTAAAGTGGTGAGATTGTGCCACATTAAATATTTATTTTTTACTTTTTGCTTATTTTTGCAACAGCAGTTTTAATTTAAACAAAATCCCACTTAGAATTTTGGAGAAATTCAGGGAACATGTGGTCTCATTTAAGTTACAGTAGTAATTTTTTATTGTTTATAAACTCTGCCCTAAATGATAGGCCATAGAAACTGTTTTTATTATGTGAAGATAAATCAACCCATGATTATAGGTCATTAAATTATGCTATCTGTGAACATTACACCTACTGGATTTCATTTGTATGGAATGGCACAAATCTGACTTTGCACTGAATACCTTTCTCACTTTCATCTCCTCTGCCTTAGTCAGAATGGCAACAGTACAAAACTCTATCAAACCTCAGAATTTATTAAATATAATTAAGCTGTTGAATGAGTCTTAAAAAACATACTACTGTTAAGTGGACCAAGTTTGGTGAAGGAGAATGTGAGAGAGAATGATTAAAGAAGGAACAGCTCAAGAACACTGGGAATGATAACTTTCCACTTGAGAACTTTTTTATGTTTTACTGTAATTTTGTTTTGTTTTGTTTTTGTTTTGTTTTTGTGGGTTTTTTGCAAAAGAAAATAGTATTTACAGGTGGCTTCTTTTAAAATATAAAATTATAAAGCAGG